CCTTCAGGTTAGGGGGCCTGTTGCATATGTTCACTATTATTTTCCCGCATGTCTCTTCCCTTTGGAGTTCCACCACCAGGATTCCACCTCACTCCATGCCCCATTTGCAATGTCATCCCTCCTGCTTACTAGCAGATCGTTTTTGATATACAGGCAAACCCCTCCTACTCTCCTACCCTCCCTGTCCCTCTGATACAAGGAATACCCCTGTACAGATGTTGACCAATCATGTGAGCTATCAATCCAAGATTCTGATATTCCCACAAAGTCAAAATCCTCCTCATGTATCAGCTGCTCCAGTTCCTCCATTTTGTTAGCTAAACCTCTAGCATTGGTGTACATGCCTCTTAGTTATGTACCACCGCTTATTATTTCCTTCTTAGTTTTTTTGTGACTGTAGTTATGCTTTGCCAACCCACTCACCCCGGGTTTAGGTATTATTGTTGCAGAACCCTCTGTTCCTCGCTTGCTGATGGTTATTGCTTACTCTGATTCCTCCAACTGCCACCTAGTTTAAAAGCCCCTCCAACTTTTTGGCCATCCTCACCCCCAACAGAGCTGCACCCTCCTCATTAAGGTTCAGTCCGTCCCTACTATAGAGCCGGTATCCAACTGAAAAGTCAGCCCAGTTCTCCAGGAACCTGAAACCCTCTTTCCTGCACCAATTCTTCAGCCACTTGTTAAGTTTTCTTAGCTTCTGCTGCCTCTCTAATGTGGCTCGAGGTGAAGGCCATATCTCTGAAAATACCACTTTGGAGGTCCTTTTCTTCAATATAGCCCCTAAGTCCCTGAAATAATTTTTTAAGATGTGCCACCTTCCTCTAACTTTGTCATTGGTACCAATGGGTCCTCCCCAGTCTCACCCAACAATCTGTCCATCCGACCTGCGAAAGACTCTTTATGCCTTTTAGAAAATACATTGGGGTATTTTCTTTCCAAAATGTCGTCATTTTGTGGGTGTTTCCATTGTCCTAGTGTTCCAGGGCCTCCAAACATGTGAGAGGTAGTCAGGAAGTTAGATATGTAAATTTTGCCCCTAGAACTCCTGAAGGTGCTTATTGGATGTTAGGCCCCTCTATGTGGCCAGGCTGTGAAAAAGTCTCACACATGTGGTATCACCATATTCGAGAGGAGAGCAGAATGTGTTTTGGGATGTAATTCTAAGTATGCCTGTGCTGTGTGTTAGAAACATCTTCTTGACTGACAACTTTAAAACACATTTTATTTAATTTCATCATTTTAAAAAGAATTTTGGCAAAAAAAACACAACTTCAAAAATCTCACCGTGCATCTTATTAAATACCTCAGACTGTCTATTTTCCAAAAAGGGGTCATTTGGGGGTATTTGTTCTTTCCTGGCATTTTAGGACCTCAAAAAATGTGAAAGGCAGTCATTACATTAGGACTGATCAATTTTCAAATATAAATACAGTACCATAGAATGTAGACTTTAGAACTTTCACACAGGCTAAATAACATATATTTATGTGGGGGTTTTTTTTACCACAAATGTAGCAGAATATATTTTGTCCTAAATTTATGAAGAAAGATCATTTATTTGTAAAATTTTAAAACAGAAAATAAGAAAAGTTTTTTCTTCAACATTTTTGGTATATTTTAATGTATAAAGCAAAAAATAAAAAAACAGTGGGGATTAAATACAACTAAAAGAAAGCTATATCTGTCTAAAAAAAATTATACAAATTTCATCTGGGTACAGTGTTTCATGGAGAAGTAATTTGTCTTTCAAGTGCTCAGTGCTAAAAGCTGAAAATTGGCCTGGACTGAAAAGTGTTAATGTGTTTGGATTTGAAGTGATTAACAACTAATATATACCTGGGTACAGGGGCGGACTGACCATATGAAAACTCGGGCAGTGCCCGAGGGCCCGGGGTCAGTAGGGGGCCCCATGAGATGCCCCTGGTACCTTTTTCATAGGCTTTTTTGAGTTTGGGCAAGGACACAGGGGCCCCATGATCCCCTATTGCCCGGGGACCCCATGAGTTGTCAGTCCGCCCCTGCCTGGGTATATGTGCAAAGTTCTACCAGGATTCTTGCTGGGCACTTTGCTAATACTACATTGGATGTATGTACTATTATTAGTCTTATATTATATAAAGCTTGTATTATTTCCATACTGGTGTGCATCTATATATTTATGTTTAATGGTATAGGCTGGTTGCAGTAGTTACTCTGCACCCAACTAATATGATTAAATTGCCGGATAATGTCCCAAGAAGGGAATGTCCTGGGGGGAGGCACTGCCCACTTTATTATCAAACCCACTCTTCCACTTAGCAAAGGTTCTGGTTCTTTTATTTCCCTACAGGCTTAGTGTAATATCCTGTGTAGCACCCTCTGGTGTACATAGTTGGTCAGAGTAGTTAGAGGCTTGCTAGAGGCCTGGGTTTTAGTAAGAGGATTACTTTAGGTCAGGCTGGAGGGCTCTACAGGTCAGTCCTCTGGTACTGCCTCCAGCTCTAGAAACTTGGAGAAGCTTCTAGAAGTCAGGAGGCGGAGGTGAGGAAGGGCTGATCTGCATATTTATGGGAGTCTGACCGATTCCAGGCAGAGGGGCCTGGCAAAGTGGCAGACCAGCTCATAAATATGACAGAGCCTGGCCAGCAGGGGAGTTGGTTGGAAGATGGATTGCTGATAGGTGCTGCTGTGTAGCCTGGGAGGGGGCCCCGGAGAAGGGGGGGGGCGCTTGCTTCCACGCTAGAGGCTTGAATCTGGAGGAGGAATGAGGAGAACTGAAAGAGGGAGCTCCACTGCCCTGCAGTCCACTGGGGAACGACAGCCTGCAATGCTAGGAGAAGAACCAACCCAGCTACAAAGGCCTGAAAGCAGCTCTATCCACAGCTGCAGGACAAGGACAGTGTGAATACCTCTACACCCCCAAGGCCTAGAAGGGAGAAATCTGCTGGACGTAAGTTCTGGTAAGTCTTCAGGGGACAGTTCCCAACATATCTACTCCATTGTCCTGGGATCAGATACCATAGCCAGGTGAGCTGGTATTTTGTTCACAAATTGGAACTTTGCTAAGAAACCATTCAAGGGGACTCCTGCAAGTTGCTTACTTTTCTAATGACTATCAGGGTTCCGGCTGGACCACAGTCACTCATCTACCATTTTTGTAGCATTTTACAGAGAAGGAAGTTGTCCTTAATTGTTATTCTGCAATCAAGTTAGGCATCCCATAACCAGTTTACCCTATCCAAGTTATATTCTCTAATACAACAAAAAAAAAAACAAGCCCATGGACTGTTTCTTGTCTCTGTATGCAAGTGGAAAATGTGTGTTGCCCGGCTGTGCAGGAAGTACAGGGGGACCCAAAAGCCAGCAGCTCTCAAGAGGGTAGCACTACCCCTGTTTGGGTAGGGCCATTTCTCATAACCCCCACAAAAGAGGACTACACGTAAAAAGCTCATAGTCTTTCTGGCCTACACTGTTGCCTGTAGAACCTTATGTTCAAAGCTAGTATTCGCCATTGCAGTCACATTCACACAGTATAGCTGTAAATGTGTGCATCTAGTAGCAGCTTTGCATACTTAAGAGACTGATGCTTAGTGCAAGAACAGCCAGAAAACAATCACTGCTCTTGCGGAATGCCCAGTGACATGGAATTATGGATCCTGTCCTTTCAGAAAACAAAAAATGAAAATTAATCCATTGAATTCATCTAGAGATAGTCCCACTGAAAGCCAAGGATCATCTATGAGGCTCTATGAGGACTATCCAGAAGGACAAACAGGGTGTCTTCCAAAAGAAAGCCATGATTGTCAAATATTTCTTGACTGCACTCATCACATCTAACATGTATAGCGCAATATCCTTTGGATGAGAATGTGATGTAGAGAGGGAAGGGGACACTCGATGTCTCATTAAAGTAGATCTTACAGTCAAAGACCACACTTGGAAGTCTGGATGTGACTGGTGATAAAGAAAGCATAGACAGAGAACGTTGCACAGCACAATACTATGAGGTGTGGTGTGGTATGGATTTTGTATGCAATGCATTAAATAAATCTAAAATTAGGTTAAAATGATTGAACTTACTAATTACATTTCAGCTTTTAGTTGCAGTATTTGCTGGATAGCATAGAAACTCCCCTATTGTTTTCATTTTTGCCTGTTACTCTTTAAAATGGAAGTGAAAATAAAGAGAAACCTCCCTACCATAGTCTTCAGAGAGCATTGTAGACAAGAAATTGGTTAAACCCTGCCACGCTGAAAACACACAAAACAAGTATAGGGTGCAAGAAAGCTCATATGTAGGCCATGAGGAACACCATGAATCTAAAGCTTAAGATAATATTGGTACAATAAAAACATAGTTAAGACACATGTTAACATTTTCCTGAGATTTATGTTTAGTTCCTGTTCTGTAATTACCATGTAGATAATATATATCCTCATTATCTCTTCTGGATTAACTGTAATGTCATCCATCAACCTAAAGAAAAAAGACTTTCTTGATAAAAGTGATGATCACATTTGACATTGTCAGCAAATATTATGCAGTATTTTTGATAGTTCATAAAAAAATAATATTTATACTTTTGTGTTCTATAAAAGAAACAGAAGTGTGCCCATTGCAAAATGGGCAAAGCTGGAGATATTACAAACAATGCTAAAGTGTCCTAGTAGGTAGTATGTGTGGGGGAGGAGTGTGGAGGGTTTGACAGCAGCAATATTTGGAGGGGGAGTATGGATGGTGTGATGGCAGGCAGTATGTGAACAGCGTGGAAGATATGACAGATGGTAGCATGTGCAGGAGAGAAGTGCAAAGAAAATGATGGAGGCAGTATGTACAGAAAAGTGTTTGGGGGTTATAACAGTGAGCAGCATGTGCAGAGGAGAGTGGAGGGTATGACAGTAGGCAATATGTATAGGAGAGGAGTGTGGAGGGTATGACAGTGGGCAGTATTTACAGGAGAGGAGTGTGGAGGGTATGACAGTGGGCAGTATGTACAGGAGAGGAGTGTGGAGGGTATTACAGTGGGCAGTATGTACAGGAGAGGAGTGTGGAGGGTATGACAGTGGGCAGTATTTACAGGAGAGAAGTGTGGAGGGTATGACAGTGGGCAGTATGTACAGGAAAGGAGTGTGGAGGGTATGACAGTGGGCAGTATGTACAGGACAGGAGTGTGGAGGGTATGACAGTAGGCAGTATGTATAGGAGAGGAGTGTGGAGGGTATGACAGGAGCAGTATGTACAGGACAGGAGTGTGGAGGGTATGACAGTGGGCAGTATGTATAGGAGAGGAGTGTGGAGGGTATGACAGTGGGCAGTATGTATAGGAGAGGAGTGTGTGACGATATGACAGTGGGCAGTATGTACAGGGGAGGAGTGTGGAGGTTATGACAGTGGGCAGTTTGTACAAGAGATGAGCATGGAGGGTATGACAGTGGGCAGTATGTATAGGAGAGGAGTGTGGAGGGTATGACAGTGGGCAGTATGTACAGGGGAGGAGTGTGGACGATATGTCAGTGGGCAGTATGTACAGGGGAGGAGTGTGGAGGTTATGACAGTGGGTAGTATGTACAAGAGATGAGCGTGGAAGGTATGACAGTGAGCAGTATGTACAGGAGAGGAGTGTGGAGGGTATGACAGCGGGCAGTATGTAGAGGAGAGAGGTGTGGAGGGTATGACAGTGGGCAGTATGTACAGGACAGGAGTGTGGAAGTTATGACAGTGATCAGTATGCATAGAACAGGAGCATGGAGGTTATGACAGTGGGCAGTATGTACAGGAGAGGAGCATGGAGGTTATGATAGTGAGCAGTATGTACAGGAGAGGAGCGTGGAGGGTATGACAGTGGGCAGTATTTACAGGAGAGGAGCGTGGAGGTTATGACAGTGGGCAATATGTATAGGAGAGGAGTGTGGAGGGTATGACAGTGGGCAGTATGTATAGGAGAGGAGTGTGGAGGGTATGACAATGGGCAGTATGTACAGGACAGGAGTGTGGAGGGTATGACAGTGGGCAGTATGTACAGGACAGGAGTGTGGAGGGTATGACAGTGGGCAGTATGTATAGGAGAGGTGTGTGGAGGGTATGACAGTGATCAGTATGTATAGAACAGGAGCATGGAGGTTATGACAGTGGGCAATATGTATAGGAGAGGAGTGTGGAGGGTATGACAGTGGGCAGTATGTATAGGAGAGGAGTGTGGAGGGTATGACAGTGGGCAGTATGTACAGGACAGGAGTGTGGAGGGTATGACAGTGGGCAGTATGTACAGGACAGAAGTGTGGAGGGTATGACAGTGGGCAGTATGTACAGGGGAGGAGTGTGGAGGGTATGACAGTAGGCAGTATGTATAGGAGAGGAGTGTGGACGATATGCCAGTGGGCAGTATGTACAGGGGAGGAGTGTGAAGGTTATGACAGTGGGTAGTATGTACAAGAGAGGAGAGTGGAGGGTATGACAGTGAGCAGTATGTACAGGAGAGGAGTGTGGAGGTTATGACAGTGAGCAGTATGTACAGGAGAGGAGCGTGGAGGTTATGACTGTGGGCAGTATGTACAGGAGAGGAGTGTGGAGGTTATGACAGTGGGCAGTATGTACAGGAGAGGAGTGTGGAGGGTATCACAGTGGACAGTATGTATACGAGAGGAGTGTGGAGGTTATGACAGTGGGCAGTATGTACAGGACAGGAGTGTGGAGGGTATAACAGTGGGCAGTATGTATAGGAGAGGAGTGTGGAAGATATGCCAGTGGGCAGTATGTACAGGAGAGGAGTGTGTGGAGGTTATGACAGTGAGCAGTATGTACAGGAGAGGAGTGTGGAGGGTATCACAGTGGACAGTATGTATACGAGAGGAGTGTGGAGGGTATGACAGTGGGCAGTATGTACAGGAGAAGAGTGTGGAAGGTGTGACAACAGGCAGTATGTGCAAGAGAGAAGTGAGGAAGGAATTCTTAAAAATGTAATATTAAACAGGGCTTTTTAAGTACTTATTTATTCTAGAATGCAACAAAGTCTAAAATTCAGCTGATAATTCCATTAAAAATCAATTAGAAACTTTTAGATCATGCCCATAAGTTTGATTATTTCCATCTGATCCATCTAGTTCTACCGAAGTGTGTGTTTATGTCTACCATTTTCAATCTTCTTGTATATTGTGTTCGCTAAGAAACACATCTAAAAGTTTTTTTTAATATATCCAAACTCCCTGCTAACACCAGCAGCTGTGGAACGGAGTTCCACTTCCTTACTGTTCCAACAGTAAAGAACCCCTTATGTAGTTTAAGATTAAATAACCTCTCATTCAATTTCATTTTTTGGTCGTGTGTCTTCTTTAGAGCCCTTAGATTAAAACGTTTTCTCTCAATGATCAATAATATCAAGTAGTTGTTCCTCATAACTGAGGTCCTCCGGTGCCTTTAATAGCTTTGCTGTCCTTCACTGGACTCTCTCCAGTTCAAGGACATTCTTCCTGGGGATTGGTGACCAAAACTGGATGTCATGCTCAAGATGAACCAGAGTTTTGTAAAGTGGTAGAATTACAGTTTTATCTCTTGAGTAGATACTTTTTGTAATGTATGCTAATAGTCTGCTAGTCTTGGTATTGGATGCCGTTTCTGAGCTTTTGATCATTTAGGACTCCCAGATCTTTTTCCATCCTCAATTCCCTTAGAGGTTCTCCCCCTAGTGAGTAACCTACAAGCATTACATACATGCATACATTTCAGCTCCCAAGTGCATTACTTTGTACATTTTTCAATAATAAATCTAATTTGTCAAGTAGCTGCCCACCCCTTTATTTTATCAAGGTCTTCTTATACTGTAGCATTGCTGTATCTTGTTGTGAAGTTATTGCCCTGCTTAGTGTGTTGCACCATTACCAAACACTGAGACTAAACGTTCCACTCCAACCTTCAGGGTTTTTTTTATATTAGAGAATTGGTGCTGGAACTCAACCTTACCCCCAATCGCAGGGGAAAGCGCATCACATCAAATGGTGAGTGTGGCCAATTTGCAACAGTGGAAGGGTTTTAAAGGGGCAAAGTAAATACCAGGAGTGTGTTATGTACAGAATGCAGAGTTCAGGAGTACGTTATGTACAGAGTTCAGGAGTACATTATGTACAGAGTGCAGAGTTCAGGAGTGAGTTACGTACAGAGTGCAGAGTTCAGGAGTACATTATGTACAGAGTGCAGAGTTCAGGAGTGAGTTACGTACAGAATGCAGAGTTCAGGAGTACGTTATGTACAGAGTGCAGAGTTCAGGAGTACGTTATGTACAGAGTGCATAGTTGCGAACATTTGTGCATTCAGCAAGCTATTGTAGAATGTAATATATATGAGAGGCATTCAGTACTGAGTATATGACAGTATGTGAAGGAAGGGAATGCAGTGTATGTGTCGGTGTGTGCAGGAATGGAGTGTGGTGTGTATGATGGCGTGTGCGGGAAAGAAGTTTGGTATATATGAATGTGTGTGCAGAACAGTACAGTGTGTATGATGGTTTTTGCAGGAACGGAGTGCAATGTGTATGGCAGCATGCGTAGGAAAAGGATGCAGTGTGTATCAGAGTGTGTACAGGAAAGGACAGTAGTGTGTAGGACGGTGTGTGTAGGAAAGGAGTACATGACGGGGAATAGTATGTTCTGAAGAGAATTGTGGAGTGTATGGTGGTGGGTAGTATATACAGTAGAGGAATGAGGAGATCCAGCTGAAAATAAGCCCTGACAAGCTCTATATAATTTATGAACAAGTTAAACAGATTTAGCCCCAGGAGAGAGTCCTGGGGCACCTCATTCACAACTCTCGACTATTCAGAAAATATACTATTAGTTGCCATCCTATGGAGGCACTACTGCAACCATTTTTTTTTTTTATCCAGGTACGTACAATATCATCAATGCCAAAGGTCCTCAATATGTAAACATTTATGGGGTGCCACATCAAACACCATAGTGAATTCTAGATATTCTGCATCTACAGGCCTTTCTCTATCAAAATTATCCAAACATCATTATTGTGCGTATTGATATTTTGAATGTTTCCAGAACCGAAAATCCAAACTTTCACTTCTTCAAGAGAAGGTTATTTATTTATATGAAACAAAGGAAGGGAGAGAGCATACAACCGCCCTAGTGTAATACTGTTTATTGACAACAATAGTTAAAAACTTCAATCATTACACTCACATAGTCTCAACCACTGATCTTGGATCTCCACTATAAGATCTGGGCAACAGGTGTATGACAGGCTAGCTGACAGCTAGAGATCCCAGCTCAAACAGACCGCCGTCCCTCAGATCTTACTTGCCCAATCTATTTGGTGTGCACTCGGTCCAGCCGGCGTCGCTCACTTTGGGGATTTCCTTCAACATGGAGGAAAGCGAGCAGGGGAGAGACCATGCTACAGGGTTGCTATGATGATGCGTTTCAGAGGGTTGGTCTTCTTTATCAAGTGAAACTGCTTTGGGGGTGTTTCGACCAGTGCGCCTGCTAGTTTTTTATGTATTTATATAAAGGTTACTATGTAAAGAATTCCTTGTGCAATATATTCTATAGGTCTTCTGATATTTGGGAATATATTTAAACCATTGGGTGCGTTTCTCCTCATACTGTATTATACCACTCCTAGCTTCCCAATTAGTCCTCATGCACACTGGATGTTTTACAACTGCTGTTTTTGGCTTTTGTTGTTTTTTTTCCACAGCCAGTAAACTCCCCAGCATGTTATCCTATGTGTCCATGCACACATAGGCTTTAACCAGCATTTTTTGGCAGGGGAGTTTTTTGGCTGGAAAAAAAGCCCAGAACTAGTGGGTTTCTAGAGGAGTTTTTTAGCTGTAAAAATGCTCTAACGCTGGTAAATGCGGAAAAATGCGGTAAAATGCAGCAAACCGGCGTTTTGGGGTGTTTTTTTAGCAAAAATTTTATTTATTTTTTGTGTAAAAACCACAAACGCAGAAAAACTCGGCTAAACGCTAATGCAAAAACGCTAAAAAATGGAAAAAAAAAAACTCACATTTTTCATGTTAGTTTATACAGCTAATGCCACTGGCATTTTTAAAATGCTTGGTGTGCATGAGGACTTAAGTATTACTGTGACTATATCCACTTCAAAGGCCTGGTCATCATTTTGTTTCCTTATCACATTTCACATGGGTCATAAACCTTATTCAGATCCTCCAATCAAGCTGGGCTCCATTACATTTGTGAGATATACTGACCAATTAGCTAATGTACTGAAAGGAGAGGGGGATAAAATAAATTATTACCAATCTGGGTTTTTTTTATCCTGGGACACAAAGCACTGAATATGACCAGACCTGAAGCTGAAAGGTAAACTAACTCCATATTCCATGTACATTGCATTTCAAATATACTTTGGTGTGTAATTTGTAAATGCCATGTAACTCACCATACGTACACTGTAAATTGTGTTGTAAATATTGTTTAGTTTGTTATTTGGTAGCCTCCCTGTCGGTCTGATTATGTCCATATTTCTGTGCTCAAAGCGGTAAAATTTTTTTCATGGAAATATGTCTTTTTTTATTGTAGGCCTGTAATTTTTAGGAATAACTCACTGAAATCTGTCCGAACAAGAGTCTAGTAAACATCCCGGGTATGATAAAATTTGAAACACGAAATCATAAATTATAATTAAATAAATAATCATAAAAAAAATAATAATATAATAAATTTAATTCAATAATGTAATCAAACCAAAAACACTGAAATTTGAAATATAGCGCCAAGTTCGCACATCACTGAGAAAAGTCGCAAAATCGTTTCCAGTGTCTGATGATGAATTTCCCCACGAATCATTATCATTCAATTCTGCAAGTAGTTCTAATTTACTATCGCTGTTCTCTAGCTGATCTAAAAAACGCTTTTGACCTAAAGGGACACTTTTTGGACCCCATGGACATTTCTCAGTTTCCAGGCAGAAAGAACAGTAAAAATGCAGGCAGGGCGCAGGACAAAGCACTCGGGAAGAAAAGTATGTGAAACGGTTTGATACAGTAATGTTTTACTATGTGATTTTAGTGAATTTAGTGAATGTCACTTTTACAACTTTCAAATTTCCTGCCAGTTCCGTCCCCCGTACGTCCCGACGTCGCAGGGAATATAACCCAGAAGACAGATGCCGGCATCGGAGAGAGAAACTTTACCCCGAGCTACACTCGGGAATACCGCCAGGGAGGGTAATATTGTGTAACCCTATCAATAAAGGTAAATTGCAGATTAAACTACTTCTTTAGTCCATGAAACAGGTAGGTGTGTTTATATAACTATTATAAGGCAAGGCCTCTTTCACATGGCTCTATTGCAGTTTCCCAACCCTACGATTTTCATTCAGATCACATATGCTTTTTTGGTGGATTTTTCGGAAAACCTTGTTTTCCGTCCTGGTGTGGATTGGTGGGAGCATCATTCTTGTTTTTTTTCTCAAGTAATTGCCTCCATTCTTTCATTTACACTCAGCTGTCAGCGGGGAACCCCATTCTTTAACATGCAGCTAAACAAATGCTGGAAACCGG